AAATAATTCACTAAGAATTTCGACAAATATGAAAATTAATTTCGCCACTAATTAATTTCGACAGACTAAATGTCGAAATAATTTTTTATTAAGAGTAATTTAGACACCCATGTATAATAATAGTGAAAATTTTATATTCTATATTTGAATACATTTCGTCTAAAGTTTTTATGTTATTATTTCGGGTCTCACAATTTCAAATCCAAAATTGTAGATGAATCAAAAAATAATTATTATTCTTGCGTTTGTGTTTATTGATCAAGTAAATACTTTCATAACGATTGTTTATGTAATATATTCAAAATTTTGTGATTAATTAATAAAAATACAAAAGATTCTTGACAAGTACTTGTACACAGTACCCGGTGTGACAATAATGTAGGCCAACTTTTACGTACGTACGTACGTACATACGTGCGTGCGTAAAATATTATATCAGATATGTATAATCGATATGAGTGTCGCTAAGAGAAAACGTACAATTCTAAAAATAGATTATGAAATTCATAATAATCTATTTTTAGAATTGCACATGCAACACTCATATGATGAATGATCTTAATTTTTTTTCTACTGGTAATGCCCGATAGCTAACACCTACCGGTACTATTCAACACGTTTATTATTATTTGAAATTGTTAAACCTTTTCCTTAGAAACGGACATCAAGAAATAAGGATGACTCTGAGGTTGACGTTTTAGTTTTTACAGGTAAGATTCTAAACTAATTAATCAGTAACGTTTCGTTTAATTTTGTACGCAGCAATTTATAATATTCAGATCAAGTTCATTAACCACTATATAATTATGAATTTATTACTATTAAGCGTGACCAAAAATGATTTCAATCTTTAATTACAAAATAATGAAAATTAATATTTTATTTCAAACCATTAGCAGCAAATAATAAAGATAACTATCAAATAATATTAATATATTCTGTTGAATAAACTAATTTCTTGTAAATCGTGTTATTTTAACAATTAACTTAAACACATTCGATTTTAAAATTCATCAAGTTGTTTAATTGCCTCGTCATATTTTTTCTCGGCTTCCTGATATTTGCAAGTCATTTCTTCGAGCTGCTTTTCTAATTCTGCTTTTTCCGTTTCAAGTTGTTGAACCTTACGTTCAAAATGTTCTGCCTTAACATCTGTTTGACGTAGTCTTTAAATAAAAAATAGATCACGTTAACTAATAATCTTTACTTCATATGCTATCGGCTTATTATAATTATATATACTTTTCTGTTGTCTCCCTCAAATTTTTTTCGGTGTTATCCAACTCATTCTCAAGTAAAGCGACTTTTCTCTGAAGACCTTCTGAGACGTTCTTAGTATTTTCTTCTTCTTCCTTAGCAAGTTTAGCATCCGAGATTTTTTTCTCTGCTCGTTCGACTTCAGCTTCTAAAAGCGCAATTTTATTTTGAAGAGAAATATTCTCCTGCTCTTTCGCAGTCAATTCTTGTTCGATTTTTTTATATTGAGCTTCCGCTTCTTCTGCGCGCTGAACTGCGGCATCGGTTTCAGCACGTAATTTATCAAGTTTCTATAAAAAAAATATTATGAATTTTTAGTTTTGATTTGAAATAAGGAATCGTTATAACTATGTGACTTCTTTTATTCTACTTGCAATCGCTCAAAAATAATATTAAAATATCATTTTCAGTTTTTTGTTCTAGATGTAATTAGTTTGGTTCGGTAACATTGTCCTGCATCAACGCCCAGAATAGAATTACTCACTTTCTTAACGTTGTCCATTGCTTAAAGTATAAAACTAAAGTCAGAGAATTTTAATACCTTAGAAAGAAGTGCCTTGAAATTATACTGTAAAGAATAAAACACAATGCAGTTTTCTCGTTAGCTTGTATCACTTGTGTATCACTGCACATATCAAATCATGCAGGGGGGATCCCAAAATTCCACGTCAAGAGAATGAAGATCCTTTTAAAATTTTAGAGGTTTTTTAAAACTTTAACCAATATTTTTCGATAAATAACTAATTTTAGTGTTTTAATTCTACAAGTTAATATATATATATAGAATTAAATAAAAAAAAAATTTGTCGAATTTAGTTAGAGCCATAGTAAAAATTTTTTTAACTTTAAGCAAAGATTTCTTAACAATTATTTAACCAAATTTGATGAAATTTTTTATTTTAATTCTATTGACTTAGAATTAAAATAAAAAACTTTCTATAAAGTTTGGTTAGATAATCATCGAGAAAGCTTTATTTAAAATTTTAATACACTTGACTTTTGCTAATCTTAATCTATTTGGATGTTATATTAGTAATTTTGTTATATAAAAATTTATAAAAATTTGTTTTGTGACTTAGGTTGATATTAACAAGAGTCAAGTGTATTTATAAAAAAAAGTTGTAGCAAATTTTTTAATTTTAATAGTTTGAATTTACTATATTAAAACTAGTATAAAATCTAAATTTAGTATATAGTCAATTGTTTTTATAACAAATTAAAAATTTTTTAAAAAAAAATTATTATAGACATTTATGATCATATGGGCTAGGTGCTGAGAAAAGGGACCAAATTGACAAAAAAAAAGATCTTTGAAAAATCAATTTTTATGTTATAAATCTTATAATAAATCATAAGAAAATACAAACTTTAAAGAGCTATACCT